CACTACTCTTGAATATACGGTATAAAATTGTTTTTGTTTAATATTTACATTGATTAACAAAGGTTCGAAATATTTAAATAGTGATATAACGTAACTAAATGGTGCACACAGTGCAGTGCAGCCATTAAATACTTAAATCGGGACCAGTTACACCAGGCTAGTTAGTATAATTACGTTTACACTCACATATTGACAAGATTTTTTATTGCATTGGGAAACAAACGAGCACACAGTCCACCTGATAGTAAGTGGATGCTGTGACATCCACATTTATCATCAATTAAGAATCAAAATGCAACTGCGTTGTCACCCCTGAGGACTGAGTTGGAATGCCTCGATTCCAGTAAAAACGGTCTCTGGTTCTCTACACTCACCATACGAATACACACCAACATTACGCTGCTATTTCACGCTGATATTCTGTGAGAGCGTGGTCCTGCCGCGGTTGAGGCGACTCATTCGTGTTACTACTATAATATAGCTGCGGCGTGGCCCTATCACGTATAAAATACGAGATATGAATAAATGTTAAAGTTAAAGCCTATATACTCGTACGTCCCACAGCTAGCCACAGGCGTCCTCTCACTTCTGAGATGGTTTTAGGGCAAGAAAGTGTCCGCCGCACCGCGCTACTCCAATACGTGTTGGCAGTCGTCACTTCGAAATGTGAAGTAAAAATTTATTTTTACGTGGTATCGAGGTATCGTTCCGTCCAGAAAAAGACCACGCTTGCACAAAAAATCGTGGGTTGTATCTTATTTGTCATTTTGTTGCTTATTCTATAAAAAAATCATGTTTTTATAGAATAAGCAACAAAATGACATGAATGACAATGATGTATTAAGTAGTAATATATGTAATATATATGGGAATCAATGTACACAGGGCGGTGGTGGCTGATATATTATAATGTAATTAGTTACGTTTGATTTCATTGTTCACACTAATATAGATAAACATTAAATGCTGGAGAAAAACCTTTTCAAGTGTATGTGTCAGGAGGCACCGGACATTAATTTCATGAAAATTTTGACTCTATTGTTTACACAACGCAGAGCTAAGGCACTCACGGCTATGTTGCTATCCATCCTCCGGGCTCCGCATTTTAAATTGATTTTGATAGATTTTCGTCCGTTAGTTAGCGGTGACAATGATCGGGAGTAGGCGACTTTGACATTTTGACAAAATATTAATATATCCCCATTATTGTGCTATGGCCAATGGACCTTCAAAAAATGAAACTACTCTTTTCTAAAATGCCGCAACGCACTGACATTCCCCTGGTGTTGCAGATTTTAATGGGCGACATTACTTGCTATCAGGTGATCCACATTGTCCTTTGACTTCTCTTTTGTAAAAATATGTTTTTAACAAAATAATAGTGATTGCAATTATTAATATTACACCGAAATATATCCTAAATTTTGGGGTCAAGTTTGAAATATCCCATACTTAGTCGACTACACTATTCAACAAGATTGTATGTTTATCTCACCCTGGCAAAAAGTCTTAAGAAAACTAATTTACTTACATTAGGCTACAAAATATCCCCTATATAATCCTGTGGGTGTCGTAAGAAGCGACAGAGGGAAACGAAGGGATCGGCAGCAGCGTATTCCTGATAACGACTAATAATAAAAGACTGCGGTTGCCAACCCGCTTGCCAAGCGTGGCAATTTGAGGCATATTTTGGTATAATATGAGGCAATCTATGGGGGAGGCCTGTGTTCAGCAGTGGACTTTAAAAGGCTGTAACATTAACGGTAGGAGACAAAATAAAACAAAATATTGTAGGTAGGCAATTTATATATTTTTACTGGCGATCCGCCCCGTTTTTGCACGGGGGATATCTGAATCTCCACAATCTCGTAAATCAGACTTAATATAAAAAAACTGAATGTAACCGGGATAAAAATAACATTGGGACGTCAAACATCTGTCTCCCCCGTGACCATTGGTACTGTAAAGCACCCGAAACGTCGGGAATTAAATATAAGTTAAAATAAGTAAACTAAACGCGATAGAATTCGTATATATATATAGTTTTACACAAAACTTTTCATCAAAAGAGGTCCAGCTGTTCTTGAGTTATAGCGATACTTGCTGACGGCATTTGATTTTTATTTATAGAGATTAAAAAATAAACTTTAAAAAAATATCATGTAATTAACCGAATAAAACTGTTTGAGATAATATCATAATTTCTTTTCGAGATTGTGGGACTACGGCACTTAATTAGTAAATACATCAATAATTATTATACTTTGTGTTTTATATTATACTTAAATAGTTGTACGGCTTCATGATTATGACAACATCCACTCATCAATCAGTAGACGTAAACCGCACGGCTAAATGACTCACCGCCATTATAAATAATTTAACAGCAATATGGTTAGTTCGCGGGTGATACACAAAGGTACTTCATGTGCTCTTATTATTCATAAATATTGTTAGGGTCTATTAACGGTATTATAGATATGAACATAACAAAACCAAAAATAAACTCGTTAGATTAGTACACAAATTTTTAAAAACTGTAACTGTAAACTATACCTTTTACCAGTTTTAATAAATTACTCTTTATAATCTGATTCAATAATATATTCCATTTTTAAGACGATGGTTCAAAGCTATGCTAGGATGGCGACGCTGTTGTCAAGCTATGAAAAAATTCCTTATATCTGGACCATAAAGTAAAAGTAAAGTTACAGCCTATATACGTCCCACTGCTGGGCTCAGGCCTCCCCTCATTTCTGAGAGGGTTTAGGGCAAGGAAGTGTCCGCCGCGCTGCCCAAATGCGTGTTGACGAACATCACATGTCTTCGAAATATTTTTTTTTCTTATTCCTCAGACATGCAGGTTTCCTCACGATGTTTTCCTTCACCGCCAAGCACGTGGTAAATCAGCACTTAAAATTGCAATTAACAATTTCATTGGTGCCGGCGGGGATCGAACCCGGGTTACTCGCGTTCTGTTATATTTACAGCGAGCGTTAACCACTGAGCTACCACGGCTCTTACCATAATGACTCTGGACCATAATGACTCATATTCATAATAATGTCATAAAAGAAGATTACAAAATCTGGACCCGATAGGTGGCGTTCAGGTCGTATTATTACTTATTATATACTTACACCCGCGTTTGCACTGTAAAAACTTTGGAATGAATTCGGAGTAAAACTCATCGCGCCATCTACCATAAAAGGCAACTAGTATTATTTCTAATTCAATATAGATTATATGTAATACTTACTGAAAGTCATTTTTTACAGCTACCACTGGTTCGGAAGAAAAACCTCTGTCCCGGGAAGAACCAGCAAGAAACTCAGTGGAACTTTTTTTTAAAAAGCACAATTTATAATATAATATTTCGTGTTATGAGAGCTGATTGTTAGCGACCACCTCATTCCCAGAGGCATGATTATCAATCATGTACTATTTAGTAGCATAATAACCCTTACTAAACAATTTTTGCTTAATAAATATTTTTAACCTTTTGATGAATAAGGTCTGCACATTTTATTATACTTTGTTGCAAAAACGTATACATTGCCCCATGCAGGAATTACTGATTCCTCGGAGTCGAGTAACAACTGGTATGACCAGCTTGTGCTTGTTCCTAGTATTTACAGATTGTACGACACTTTTTAATAAAACCATTTTTGTTTTTGTGTACACACATTAAATTTTTGTAAATATATTGGGAAATCAAAGTTAATATATTTATTTGTTTAAATTTTTCTCTGAGAGATTCTTTCGGACCTAGGTTATAAATTGCTCCTAAGGCTTTCATCTGCAATACAAAGATGGTTACAATGTCATTGGGAGATTATGACGCTAATTTCAAACATCTGATATTTGATTATTATCCTTAATTTTTTTATTTTGTTGCGTGTTGTCGCAGTCATATTGACTTAAAGTGACAGAGACAGCACGAGACGTAATGACATCTTAAAATTGAGTAAGGTTAGAGTATTTCGGCCTAATATGTACATATAAACTTCTAAAACCTGTTCCTTCTTAATATGTTGATTATAATTTCCTGTTATTTGAATAAATTGACTAAGAAGAAATTGTATTATCCTCGATGAATAAATCACAACGTCCTTGCCGATTTCGTTTATGAAGAAATTTCCAATTACTGTATTATCTTCTTTTTATAATTATTCATCAGCCGGACATTCTAGCTTTTCCCAAAGTCACCTCCCACAACACCTACGGGACGAAATGAAATGGAGATGTATGGCTGGAGTGGACTCTTACTCCTAGATATTTTTGCGCCACAACCATACATATGTACATGCTAACAAAGAGATATAACTCGTCCACCAAACCATATGACTCTTAGGTCAAACCTAATCCCACTGCATGCGGAGGCTAGTCTGCTAGGTCTTTAAGCCAATAATGTTGTACAAAATAATCACGTTCTTCAATAATTGAAATTAACAAAGAACGTATTTCAATTATTTACGACTCTGTTTATTTTCATGTATTGTGCAAAATATCATTAAATTTTTAGTCGTAAAAAATGTCAAAAATGATGTTTTTACTGTTCCTTTTTCGTTCGGGGAACATATCTTCTCTTCTAATCTATTCTATTCAATAGATTAGACAGAAATTACGTAAAATAAATGAAATATTTTAATTTCATACATCCAAAAAGTTAAACTTTTCATTTAATTACTCCTTCCGATGTAAAATACGCTTATGCAAAAAGATACGGGGTTCAGCTTTGATGCAGTGTTGATGTATCAGAAACACGGGGAGCTTCACACCAAGAGCTACCAGTCAGCTCTTTTTAAGACAGCGGAACCTGATTACAACGATTCTTTAAAAGCCTGGCTAACAACATCTAAATCACCAAAGACGACGGAAGAATAAAACATCAATAATTTTCAGACGTCTCTGGATTCCAAATTTGCAATTATTTACTACCTAAAGCTACCACATATAATATGTACAAACTCATAACATAATTTAATTTTTATTTCCAGGGTCAACTGACGTGGACATGCCGTCGTCGCTGCTCCACTCCATACAGAACCAAATGCAAAGTAAAGGCGGCTATGAAATGGCGTATGGAGTAAAAGTGAGTATCAAGTATTTCAGTTTGCAGAAATGTTATCTCCACGACTCAAATACTTTCTTGCCCAAGCATTATGTTGCTACAACATGTCACGCGATGTTTTATTATTTGTAACTAAGTAATACCATTATTCGCCGTGGGCGTAGGGGAATCAACCACGGCGTATCATCCCGTAGGTGCCGTAAGAGTCGTAAGAGGGAAACTGAACAAGAGATGGGTAGCAGTGTTCTATTGATAGGATCTCAAAATTATAAAAAAACTGGAGCCAACCAGCCAAGCTTCTGAGGCAATCCATGGGCGAATCCTTCTGTTCTACAGTGGACTTTTGATAAACTAATGAACGAATCAATTAAATATCATTAAATAAATCAAAATCAAGGTTACGGGTTCCGAAATCGAAATCCAATTTGAGCCAAATTTTCGGTGCAAAAAATCTAATGTTTTGTTTTCGGATTTAATTGTTTAATCATAAGATGCGAGTAATTCTGCACTACAACCCTACCTGGTGATAATAATGATGAAGCCCTAGAAGCCTTTTGTTAAGCTAAGACAGTGTGTCTTAGCTTAACAAAAGCCTTATTCACTCCTGCTTGAAGACATTCACATTGTAATCGGACAGAAATACAGATGCCGACAAATTATTCCACTTTATAACGTGAGATGAAGCAAAACGTTTAGATCAAATACGTGGAACGTCAACAACAAAAGGATGCGACAGAAAAAAAATTTAGATTCTGTTCCGACAAAGTTCTAGTTAGCAGTTAGTTAGTTAGTTAGCAGCAGATGTAATGTACCCTGGCTGGCGACGGAAACCATCGTCAAAGAAGCATAACGACTGGTACTAGGCTTGTCAATAGGTCTTCGTATAATACAACGTGGTAGAGCCACGCTGCAGCTATATTATGGTTGTAGCACGATGGGGCTACTCAACTGGGGTAGGATCACGCTCTCACGGAATACCAGCGTCAAATAGCAGCTTAACGCTGCTGTGTTTCGTATGGTTAGTGTGGAGAACCGGAGGCCCTTTTATTGGAAATGAGGTATTCCATCTTAGTCCTCACGGTTGACAATGCATCTGCATTTTAATTCGTAATAGAGGATAAATGTAGATGTCTATGGGCCACAGTAACCACTTACCATCAGGTGGACTGTGTGCTCGTTTGTCACCCTAACCCTGTATAAAAAGTGTAAAACAATTTAAATTCAGCCCATTTGGATACCGTGGTATAATAATATTGAAATGAATAGAAATTATAGAATTACTCAAAGGTTACGTTCTGAGCACTACTCATTAGAGTTAGAGAGTTAGTAGAGTTATTAAAAAAAATTGTATTTAAAAAAGAAGACTCGCTTAAATCCGTCAAATATTTGTCACATTGTAGAAGATCTCCAACATATGCTAGCAGAATGTGTTAAATATCAAAGTGAAAGGGAAAGAGGTGAAAAAAATTTTATATTAGTTTGTGTGTAATAGGTTGGTTTTTCTTGTACGATAACGCCTCCTTAAATAAAATGAAAAAAGAAAAGCCTAGAAAGGAATAACACGCACTCACGTACACATATGCATCTAAAATTATTTTCAACCAACAAAATAGTTTTGTTTGCGCATATGTGCGTCCAGTAGTGAAATTTTACGAGTTGATAAGGGAAGAAAGAAGAAAGATGAGTGTGTGAGTGCGTGTTAAGAATTTGAGCATGGTTTTGACATCACGTGAAATGCACGCAGCTCCCTATCTTTTTTTAAATTGAGTTACAAAGTATAAGAAAAATAAGTTTTTTTTTCTTTCAGGTGTACTGAAGCGACCTCTTCCCTGGACTCTAGTGACAAAGCAGAGTGAATAGTTATCAATTAATGTGTGTTATTGTATGATCTTTTAAACACTATATTTATTATTGATGGTAACGTAAGTTAGTTATAAGTATTTTTGTGTACATAAGGAGTCAAGACCGAATTCGGTGAAAAAGAAAACTTAAAAGTTACCTCAATGAAAGAGACACAAATGTCTCATTCACGCACAAGATTAAAAAAAAAAGTTCTCACAACTTATAGTCATGGTCTATCTTGAACGAGAAAACGAGAACAAAGATATTTTGAGTTTTAACATTACAATGCCGCCAACTGCGATGTATTTGACAGATAAATAAAGATTTATTACCTTCCGAACATAATTTGAATAGATTTCAACATTTTTTAACCTTTAAATGTTGTATAATAGATGAAACTATAGCATGTAAATGCTAACTGCAAAAACAAATTTTTACAACGTTTGGTTTTGGTACTGTACAAATGAATGGTGCTTGTGATGTATGCATGATTGGCAGCCGAATGGCAATACCAACCTATCTTGAGACGGACTTTTATAGCAATAATAAAACAATCGTAAGTATGCATAAATGAATCTGTCCAACTGTACGCATTTAATATTCTACCTTTGTATTTATTGTAAAATAAAAATAAAAATAAAAATTTCAAATATTATGTACTATATTTAAAATAATTAAGGTATATATGTAGTTTTCAAAATCATTTAAAATATTTGACCGTAAAGTACTGAAGCTATGATATTACAACAGTTGAATTTTTTAACTTAATAATGGCAACAATAATCATTCATTATTAAATTTAAAAAAAATTAGATAAACAATCGAACACTAATTTAATTGAAAAATAATAAATTTATTTACACTCGTTTTTCTCACCGTGTTAAATAGTTTAATTATTCTGCTCCGAGTGTTTCATGACTAATTAGTTTGTGTCAATTGACACAAGCTATAAATAAAATATCTCTGTATTTAGTACTTGTACTGAATAAAATATAGAAATGTCTGTTAAAGTTTTTTATTTTATTCGTATAGGCATTTCAAACTGTAGTGTTTTAAATCCAATAATCCTCCTTCAAAAATGACATTTATTACATTCTTCAAGAAAAATCTTCATTAGATAAAATTTTCATGAAGAATACCAATAAAAATTATTTAAATATAATGTTACATCATATGCATGTCGTATTATGTTATAAAGATTTTTAAAATAAATTTCTATTCAATTCCCTTTTCATATTAATGCAGAAGCATTATTAAAACAAGTGTTCGCATTTTCTTTGATTACAAATAAATGCGAACATTTTTTTAAAATTTATATATAATTATTCGTACCCAATTCCGTCGAAACTGCCTTTACATGTTAAAAACGTGATATTTGTCGTAAATATGATCCATAAGTTTAAGTGTTTTCCCTATATTTTAATCCGTCAGTGTTTTATAGTCTTAGTTTTGATTAGGATCCTACGTGAAATTTCGTTCACATTTTAAAAGATAAAAATAGGCAAATTCTATTATATTGGTGTAATTGTACCAAACTATTTCTTATTATCCTTTACGAATTACTTTAATGTTGATAGTATTTAAGAAGTGCATCAACTGTCACTATAAGTTTATATAACTTGGTTAACATATTCTAAAGTCAGGTTTGGATAATTTTGGGTTTCATTGTGAGGAATATTTTAAGCAATGGTAGTCACGATAATTCCTCATGATGAGTAACGTTATCATTGTAAACAAATTTTTACTAAGTATTATTTGTATTAATTGGCGGCGGTTCAACTTGCACACCAATTGTATCAATATTTAAAAATGTAGAATGGACTGAAAAGTAGTATTGAAACCTTTTTGGTTATAATAATTATAAAACGAGAGAACTTTTTCCTGGTAACGAGGCATTACATCTTAAGCTGTTATTCAGAAACAACTACAAATATAAACTTAAACTCCACAATATTAAAATTTGTGTAACAATAGTATAATCTAGATTATCCTGTAAATACCGTGTCTAGACATCAAGGACAACAACGCACCTGCATTTGGCGTCTGTGAACCACAGCGTCCAATTATTATCATGTGAATTATAAGCATAAACTTCGTTATGTATCGCTCATAAAATTAATCACCATAATCCATAACTACATATTGCCACCATTTTACACCTGCAGCATGCTAAATCATTTATTCACCCTTAGTCACCTTCTACAGTACCGAAGAATAAAGTGACAACTCTTTTATCAAAAAGCGCTTCCTTATTTTTCGCATAAAAAAGTCATTTTTATAGTAAAACTTTTTGTGTGTAAAACCGAAGTAGTTGATATTTTTCCGTCCATAAAGCTCTTCGGGTTTATACGTTTAATGTATTAATATAGGATATTTTATCTCGAACCACAGTCATATTTATATATTACGACTACTTCTTAAGTTATTGTAACTGTTCTAACGTATATTATTTTTTACATACATATATACATAAACTATCACGCCTAGGGTATGCAAAAAGTACGGACTTCCATTTGGCATGATTCTGACACACCTCACTCCCATTTTTCACATCCATATAGATATCTAAACATACATGCACGTCGGTTAATGATTAATATGTATGTGATTGTATCAATTCAATTACATACCAATATATCATCATAATTATAATCCAATTTCTAGCCACGAATACAAATCATTAACTGCAGTTTGTAGTTTCTAAGCAATGTTATCAGCAATATTTCATGTATAAATTTTTTAATTTCAACAATTTTTGTAAGAAATTTTACAAATATGTAAATGTATTGTCAAGTACCGCCGCCAATTTATTTCTTGTAAATATGTAATGTCTAGAATGACGGTAATACTAGAATGGTCTACACTCGAGAAATTTAGAAGTCAATGTCTCTAGTTTTTTTTTCTTCAAATATATACCAAATCGTTGTTAAATTGACGTAAAATGTGCATTTTTTGTGCAAGGGTTAAGTTGTTTGTCGATTATATTCTCATATTTAATTAGGTTTTAAAACGAGTTTGTATAATTTGGTAAATATTATATCTAAGGTATTAATGTCTATTAACGACGTTTTATTTACTCGATGAGCTCTACAGTCTTCTTGCCCGAGGTATTTGGGCACGTGAATGACTGCATCAAAAAGCCAATCCGCGAGACTGAAATAGAAATTTTATAGTATACCTTCCAAAAATAACTTATACCTATATTGTTTGTGCAAAATACTTCCTATTGAAACAGATCTATGCAATTTTGTAATTTTGTCCTTTTCTAGTTAAAACGACAAAGTTATTTGTGCTAAAGAGTTTTATAAATATTTTACAGTGTAGTAAAACAATATATGAAACATGAAATTATAAAATTAATCTATTGTTTTATTTTCCTTAAATATTAATCGGACATTAGCCATAGATACGTTAAATTAAAGTGGGCAAAACGTTCCACGTAATTCGACCCACAAAATGTTACATGACCAGGAAGAAATTATGGGTTACCAATCAATGGGTTACCAGGTTAAATGGAAAAACATCTATGCCAACTGGACACAAAAGTCTTATATCGTGAAAAATAGGAAAAAGAAAGGAAAGCCTTTGCTTGCTATTCTGTGTGAGTGTAGTCTTTCCCTGGTCGATTCTTTCTAAGTCTAGCCCATTATAGGCTCGAACAATACACAGAAGCTATTGTTCGAGCCGTGCATAAATCCATAAATTCCTTAATATTATAATAACTCTTTACATGCAAACTAAGTTTAATAAAGTTTTTGAACTTTCATGATTGATTGGGATAGACAGGCGCGCTGTCAAGACTTTATTGTAATATGTTTTGGTTGATGAGTAAGTACTCACACATCATAATGAGACTACTGGGAAATAACATATCAAAATGACTAGGTAACATCCTATTTATGTATGTTAATACTTATTACAGACTGATAAATAGTGAGGAAGTAAAATGTTAAGAATTACAAAACACAGGTACAATTTAATTGTATTTCAGAAGCCATCATCAAAGACTAGGAGAGACCGCTTATTCAGAAAGTCTCAACTATCCAAATAGAACAGTATGTAAGCCATAATCAAGATTGACCAATAATTGGCAGGATCACCACGGTCACCCTTTATAACGACGAGAATAAGCTGCTCGTCAGTTCAGTTCACTGTATGAAATTTGGTGATTTACTGGATTACAGGACTCCATTTCTGTTTAGGAGCCCGTTTGACTTGGTCCGCAGCTGGACATATATTGCCTCATAGAACAGGAAATGGTCAGAAAACCATTGAGTTATATGTACTACTTACGTACTAGAGAATATATTCCAAACAAAAAATGTGCGCTACTCTGTGTTCGCGCGGATAGTAGATTGTATTGTTAAATAGGTAAATTATATCTAAAACAATATTTAAATTTTGTCATTTATTTTGTATATTATATTTGCTTATTTAATATAATATTATATCACAATTACATTTTAATGATATTTTTATCTGAATATTTTAAAATGTATCTAAGTCAAATATAAAAAACATACTAAATGTATGTTTAACAAAACTTATTAACATAACATTTAAATTATAAATATATTTATTTAAATTAGAATAAAAGTCGTTCTTAATGTGGAACGCGAGAGTTAAAAATGGACGAATTTTGACTTTGACTTTGATGTGGAAACCTAAAAATAAAATAAAAAAATAATAAGCAGATTTAAACATGAAAAATTTTGCAAAATTATAATAACTTATATATGTTTCTACAAAAAAAAATGTGTATCATAATATATTCATCCTATACTTTAGTACCCACAGAAATGTCGCATCTGAACATATTCATTTCATAATCTATATTCCATGACACGAGATGGCGTCTTAGGAATAATTTGTTTTATTATTAAATACATAATACGTTTTTACTGATTGAGTATCTTATTAACCGATGAAAAGTAATTCTGTGGTTTTCACTGACATTTCTTGAATTATTTGTGCAATATCTAAGTACACACGACGGCATATTTTTATCAAGAGATTTTTTTTAAATCAACACAACACGTGACAACTCTATAAGCGTCCAGCGAGTGACTGATTAAAGTGCGGTGTATGCACCGCAGTTGAGTGGAACAGAGTAGCTGAATGCAGTGTCGCCTCTAGTACGTAGTACATAATTGCTCAATGCAGGAGTAGGATAATTGTTGGGTTTATGTATTTAAAATGTAAATAAAAGAGACGCTCCATTTCAGGTCAATTCTATGTACACGATACTATAGCGTAAAACAGAGAAAATTTCAGTTTTATTAAAAAAAATAGAGCAAAAATCAAACCAAATAACGTGCTAAAAATAAAAATGCAATCCCAAGTTTTTGATGGTTTCACAAGATGGCGGCCTCTCAGTCATGAAAAGACGCGGTTATTTCTCAAATGACATCTCTGACAAGTTATTTCAAAATCGTATAGATGTATATTTTTGTCTCTTTTTATTATCGCTTTTTCGTTTCGACTTTCAAATCAAAACGATTCTAAAGATGTTTTCACTAAAAATCATATAAACTAAGGGTGTAAGATAGCTAATATTATGATTTACATATTACGCTTATGCGCGGGTCAAACATGACAGGCAATGACGACGAGCTAAATGGTGTTCGCAGGCTATTCGGACACCAGGGCTTCCAAGGAACCATGAGCCACCTGTATCTATCGACTTACGGCATTTCTTACCAGGTCTTCAATCCATCTTGGTAGAGCCACGCTGCAGTTATATTAGTAGTATAGTTGTAGCACGAAAGGGTCAGCTCGACCGGGGAACTACCACGCTCTCAAAGAATACCAGCGTAAAATAGTAGCTTAATGCTGCTGTGTTTCGTACGGTGAGTGTAAAGATCCGGGGACCCTTTATACTAGAAACAAGGCATTCCATCTTAGTCCTCACGGGTGATAACGCATCTGCATTTTGATTCGTAATCGAGGATAGATGTAGATGTCTATGGGCCACAGCAACCACTTACCATCAGGTGGACTGTGTGCTCGTCTGTCATCCTATTCTATAAAAAATATCTAGTGGGAGGCTACTCTTCACTTCACTTCACTTCACCGGGACGAGGCTGCCACTCGAGAACCATTATTCCACAGTCAGTAGTTGTCAGTTCTTCTAGCTTTATGACCGGCCTATCAACGCTTCAGCTTAACGATACCTTGACTTATATGATATTAAAATAAAAGACTTCAATAGTTAAAATATGTAAATTTTATTATATGCAGTCACTTAAAAGAGAATATACCATGTATAACAAAAGTCGAGTACAAACAATAAAATAACATCTAAACGTGAAATTTCACCCAAGACTGTTACAGATAATTTTGTGTAGCAGCTGACGTAAGAGGTATGTCTTTACTTCATCTTTTTCTATGCCTATGCTCAGAACGTGCAGCGTTTGGCTTCGACTTTTCTTTATACCGAGAATCTTCTGGAAAAAAAACAAGCATACGTCAAGAAAGAACATTATAAAAAATATGTTATTTATTTAGCTCTTAACCGTAGTTAAGAGCCATCATAGGAAATTCTGTATAGAAAAATATGTTATGCTCTTCAAACAGGCGGTTATAACCATCTCATTCTTGCCAGATACATAATACTCAAACCGGTATCGGAGGGCAGCGTAAATATTGTGAAATGTCTGGTTACCAATATAAATGCGTGTGTGCAGAACTTGCAATACGTCTATCATAACACTTCATAATATTTCAATCAGGAGTATTAACTTTTCAATAACAACTAATTTTCAGATTTTTACTGCCATCATTATGACGGCTCGTGGAGATATGGCTAAGCGTTTGGACGGTGCTGCAGGGCCACGTGTTCGAATCTCTGACGGAATAACTGTTCGTATGACCTACTAATAAATGCTCTAGGTCCGGACGTATATCCTTGTACACGTAAGTACCTCTACGATAAAGAAGAAAATTCACACAAATTACAAAGGAAATCATGTGAAAAAAAGAGTTGCACAGGTTCGCGGATCTCCGCAAGTCCAACCGAACTTCCTCATGCAAAACAACCGGTATTCTGTGTAGTCTAGTGGGTACTAACCTTCCCCGTTGATTTAGTGATCGGAGAGGCTATTAATGTTTTTTTGTTGATAAATTCACAGTAGCAGCCGGGAGTTGCGGGCCGTTGTTTCATTTCATATCCGTGACTCAAAAAAACCGTAAAACCGTTCGTTCTGCTCCTGATTTATCTCCGGTCGTGTCGGATTACAGTTTCATCGGAATACGAGAGTGAGGGAATAGAGAGTGCACCTCTGCTTGCACATACACTCGTGCCCTATAATTCTGTCTGCTTTGTTTTCTTCTAATTTATGGCACCATCTCGTAGAATCGGATTCTGTCAATGTCAAGTTTTCTTAATTTCTTTAGTGATGAACTCGTACGTTTATACTTCTGTCACTACCAAGTAATAAGAAATTGACCTTAACTATTTTCATCATTAATTAACTATAATATAAAATTATATATTATATTATAGTTTTTGGAGGGTTTTGATGGTAGCTTGAGCCAGTAGGCAGCTGATGGCGATAGTATCTCAAGACGTTTAAGCGGACACATTATCTTGAGGTTTACATTGCCATCGGACCACATAATTCATCGTTTCCACTAATAGTTCATATGCGCAAAAATTCACAAAATTGTACTAATTTTACGTATCAAAGTTTATTTCAAAATACACAAAATTGTACCACTTTTATGTATCAAAATTCACAAAATTGTACTACTTTTATGTATCAAAATTAACTTCAATTCAAAATGTGCACTTCAATATTCACAAAATTGTACCACTTTTATGTATCAAAATTCACTTCAAAATACACAAAATTGTACCACTTTTAAGTATCAAAATTCACAATATTGTACCACTTTTACTATCAAAGTTCATTTCAAAATACACTAAATTGTACCACTTTTATGTATCAAAATTCACTTCAAGCCATTACCGTTACCCATATATATTATTACCGTTCCAGCCAATAAAATCCACTGGGCCTACCCCATAGATTACCCAACAGTCCGAAAAAAGAACAGAGAAAGACAGAAGTATCTCTGGAGGATATTATTATCAGGCGTACCTCTTTCCTTGCGGCGGTGGCGACGGTCGGGCGACGCACGCGAGTCGGGCGAGGAGCGGCGGCGCGGGGCACCTGCGCCCCACCACCAGGCTGGCGGCGCTGTACCCTCGCACGCCGCACTCGCCGCGCCCGCCGCGTACTGGCACGCCGACGCCATCTGCAACGACCCACCAAGTTTTCAACGTGGCGACATACGCTGCGGTTATGTCTAACGTGGTACAGCTACACTGCAGCTATGTTTAATGTAGTAGAGCCAAGCTGCAGCTTTGTTTAACCTACTAGAGCCACGATCATCATTCTCTAAACCATTTCCCATTATCTGGGGTCGGCGCAGTAAATCTTCTTGTTCCATTCCTCTCTATCAGCCGTCATTTCCATACTTACTCCTTTCATTCTCATATCACTCTTCACACAATCGATCCATCTTTTATTCGGCCTTCCTCTGCCCGTGTGTCCCTCCTCCTGCTAGAGCCACGATGCAGCTATGCATAATGTGGTAGTTATGGTATATATCTCATGTGTTAGAGACACACTGCTTCTATGCTTAACGTGGTAGAGTCATGCTGAAACTATGTACGCTATTTTATTAAATGTTACCCCCACACTAAATTGCATAAAGATAAACATCCAGACCCGGAACAATTATTTGTAGGCCTTACAAATGCTTGTTTCATGCGAGATTCGAAACCGCTGCTTCAGAGTCACACCTCAATGTTAAGCAACTGCGTCACGGAGACATCATCGTGGTAGAGTCACGTTACATATAACGTGGTAGAACTACATTAAAACTATATTTGACGTGGTAGAGTCAAGCTACAGCTATGTGTAATGTCATAGAACTAACCATTTTTTTTTAAGAAAACGTTATTTCTTCATTATAATCATCTAATGTATCGTGGAGGCAGTTTACATACATAAATTGCACAAAGACAAGCATCCAGACCCGAAACAATTATTTGTAGACCATACAAATACTTGTTCCGTGCGGGATTCGAACCCCTTTCAGCTTTGTAGCTCAAAGCTTTGTATCTCAATGCTAAACTACTGCGCTACAGAGCTAATTTAACGTGGTAAAACCTCGACGCTGCTGTTTTTAACATGGTAGAGCCACGCAGCAGTTATGATAAACGTGATAGAGCCACAGTGTACCTAAGTTTGACGAAGTAGAGCCAGGCTGCAGTCTCACTGAAGCCACGTTTGACATGATAGAGCCACACTGCAGGTATAACGTGCTATTAATAATTAATTAGTTAATTACTGATATTCACTTTGCGAGCACTTACTAAAAATGAACCAAAGCTTGTTTTATTAATAAGGATGAACAATTGCAATGCTAGATTTTAGAGCTATTATTGTAACAACATAACAGTGTCTAGTATAAAGGTATGTGACCACATTTATAATTTAATCTTATGTGATATTATGATGTGAAATGTTTATTTTTTATTCATTGACAAAATGTCAATAATTTCATAAATTTCTTAGGAGAGGCTGTTGTTTAGCCGTAAACTTGTGATAGGCTGTATTGATGATAATGATGATGATAATGACGAATATAAACTTAAAGGTTTTTAATCATTGATAAAAATTGGCTCGCTGCTGGTATCTGAAAATATTACAGTATGAAAGAAGTATTTTATTACATTTTCTAATACAACTTTTCACAACTATATACTTACTGGAGGATAAGCAGGCGGAAGCCGGTACGGTGCAGGGGAGGGAATGCTCTCTCCTTCAGCGCAAATAAGAGGCGGCGCCGCACGTTGAGGACTTTCCGAAGTCACCAACTGCCGAGATAAAGTACACACCAATATTTACAAGTAAAAGGAATTCACCGCGTAGTGGCAGTGTAAGAATAGCCACTACCCAATATCATTACGTGGGTGTCGTTAGAGGCGACACAGGAGCACAAATCAGGAGATTGACAGCAATGTCGTCCTTATAAGGACTAAATATAAAAAACTGATGTTTGTAAGAGATGGCAGAGAGATGTTGTCTTTGTTTTGTTAGTGAGGGTTCTTCCGTAATTTTTCCACCGCGATTTTGAATAGACCGGGGACTTTAAGAAAAGAGTGTACCCCAAGGGCCGGCAGCGCACCGGCAATTCCCCTGGTGTTGCGGTTGATCATGGGCGGCGGTAGTCACTTAACATCAGGTGGGCCGCATGCTCGTTTGCCCCCTCTTCTATAAAAAAAAATATACTCCTATAACGGCAAAAAGAATTTCAACAGTAAGTAATTGAAATGAATCTCTATAAACATTTAGGTACGTGAACTTAAAACTACCAGAAACGTATTATTGTTTTGATTTTTGTTTTAAGAGGTAGGGCGCCAATGCACATGCATTATGGGCTGTTGCAAGAATAGGTCGCCTCGTCTGCGAAACAAAAGAACTATAAATACGGAGAATATCAGTGTAAAGTAGCAGCATATTATGTTATTGTTAATATAGGAAGTGAAGAGAACCGCTAACATTTTATTGGTAACGAGGCATTCTATCTTAGCCCTCAGGGGGGACAGAATATCTGCATTTTAATCCGAGATAGGCGTCTATGGACCACAGAATACACTTACCATAAAGTAAATAGTCACCATTATGTGTATAAAAAATATTAGATATCGCCAACATAAAAGGAAAGGGTTGGGTACTATGTTACGGACTGACATTTTTCATCAAACCTAAACAAGATTTTTTGATTGATTTTTGAAAAATTATTAGAGATCATTACAAACATTGACTGGTAAAACACACTTTTCCCTTAGTATAAACGATAATACAATCACTCCGCTTTGCAAACTGGTTCATAATTATTACAACACTAGAAACCTAGCTCTTGTCAATGAATGAGATAGTTGAATCCGTATCTATTAGAGGTCAAAAGATATTTTAGATATTTTCCTTATGACAATGTGGGGGAAAATGGAACAAATGCAAGTAGATTTTGTATAGTAGAGGTATGGAAAAGGGCAGGTACAGGAATAAACCATCTTTATTACGACCAGTATACTGGGAATTGGGACCAAAGAGTATTCTTTAAAACTCTGAAGGTATAATGCAACAAAAATGGCCAAATGCATGGAGAAAATGCGTAAAATTTTTGCAACGGTATCTAAAATACAAAGACTTACTGCTAATGACCCGAACATAAAATAACAAAAAATCTGCAATATCTTACATATTATATGAATGTCAGCTTATTATTATCTTCTCTCTTTATACGTGGTAGAGCCACGCTGCAGCTATATTATGGTTGTAGCACGAATGGGTAGACCCGACCGGGAACGGGGAAGTACCACGCTCTCACAGAATAGCAGCGTAAAATAGCAGCTTAATACTACTGTGTTTCGTATGGTGAGTGTATAGATCTGGATCTGGAGACCATTTTTTACTGGAAACGAGGCTTCCATCTTAGTCCTCAGGGGTGACAACTTGACAACGCATCTGCATTTTGATTCTTAATCGAGGATAAATGTACATGTCTATGGGCCACAGCATCCACTTACCATCAGGTGGACTGTGTGCTCGTTTGTCACCCTTATTCTATAAAAAATGTATCTTGAACGCAACTTCGTAGCTTGTTTGTCATAATATCTTACCATACACATTTTGAACCCTGTATAAACATTCTATCCAAGGCAATAATTACATACGTTAATAACTTGTAACTGCTGGTTAAAGGTTTTGGATTGGTACACAAAACTTGACCGGTAGCAAATTCCCGGTAGACCTAAGAATAAATAAACTTAACGCATATTTCAGTCTTTTGGAGAGGCCGGTGTTCTGCAGTGGACTTTTGACAGGCTGTAATGGAATAGATGGATGCATGGATATTTCATTGGAATACTGCCATAACTAACATTATCCATCAATATATTTAAGCAGGGTACCTGTTTCTTGAGAGAGTTGAAATCATTACTCATGTCCCGGTACCGCTGGAGGCACTCCTGCCACATGGTCGCCATCTCGGCCATTTCTAAACGCTGCTTGTTGATCTCCTCCTATTTCCCACATTTTGAATATTTTCTTTACTTAAACAGTCCGTTACCAGATGTCTAGTCGATTGAAATATTCATAAGCAGTTGTCAAAACAAATAGTGCTATAAAAGTGGTACGAAAATGTATAATCATGTCATAGGAAAAAAGGAAATTCAAATCTATCTATATAAAACACAAAAAATGTTTCTACTTATATCCGCAGTAGGTATATTATATATGCTTTGAATCCACCCAACCGATTTTGACGACTTTTATTGTGTTTGAATGGGTCCCTAGATGGTTTATATTCACATTTGGACCCAGTAGATTACGCTGTTGTCGAGGTCCAGTAATCACCCGTGTGAACCTTTACGATGTAGTTTTAATAATGACTGTGTCAACTATGTTATTGGTTGGATTTACTATCACCGTAGATACATAGAAAATTCTTTATTGCACTCAAAACAATTTAGTACAAAAAAGCAATCTCTGCTAGCTAACCTTTGTTAGTGAGTGCAAGAGCTATAGGTAGAGCTGCAACAGAATAAAACTACATTATTTCAACTACAATGTAAAGTATAAACATTTTAGTTCATATATATATATATATATATATATATATATATATATATATATATATATATATATATATATATATATACATATATATATACAACTTACACGTATGCGCATATATACACTTATAAATACATACTGGATGATTTTTTTACCATCTTGAAAAAAAAATAAGAGTGTAACAGTTGAACGGAATAGAAGCAGGCACTGATATTTTACATTTTTTAAATTTTACTTTAATATATTATTAAATTGATATATCAATAAATACTACTAATCGGGTGCGTATTATTTTAATTTCAATATTATTTACTTGATTTATTTTTTTTTTCAAAAATTTTGTTGTTATTTTTTTAGTGTCGAAAGTTTATTTCAAATTAATAGTGTTTATTGAATTTATCAATAAATACTATTAATTTAACAAATACAATTTCATATGTTAATGTAAAATTAAAATTTAAGTGTTATAGGCTTCTATTCCGTTCACCTGTTACACCCTATTTTTCCCAGACATATATATTAACTAATGCATTTTCTATATTTGATTGTCTAATACCTTACGTTTGAATGAATTTATTGAGGAGTTTTCTTTTATATTTCGTAGGTCATGGAAGGTTATTCCATAGAGTAATGCAACTAAGCTGGGGAAAATGATTGTGAAGAATACCATACAAAGTGGTTAAGCGATGTGTAATGCTTGGCATACAAATAACAAACAGTTGTGTCACGAAATACTTGAAATTTTAATTTTTCTATTCTATTCACAGTGAACTAAATAGAGTTCATAAAAAAGAGAGTTTCGAGGTTAGTATCGGTAACATCGCCATATTCGAAACTATACATATAAACATTGAAGGGACTACATCAATATACCATGAGCCTGGCGTCCGTGTCTCCGACATCCCTGGCCACGGTCTCGTAGCGCCGCATGCACTCGCGCCAGAGCCGCAGTTGTGCTGCTGCCGAGTCGCGGACATTCTCCGCGTCCTGATTTTTTAATTACAGATGTTTAGGAGTACAGCTCTTACTTGTATTTTCAACTTTAATACTACTGAGAGAACTAAAAGATCTTTGCAGGTCAAATAAGAAATTACATAATATTAATATGATATGGTTTGTAATATGAATCGGTGTTCGATATTTAGCTCTTGCTTCCTTAATGTTTTACCTTGGTAAAGGTACAATCATTACTAATTCACAGTAGACTATACTTGTACCCAATTATTAGCAGTAATTTGCAGAAATCGCCCCGCTCTGGTCATGGTAATTTGAATGGTAGATAGTCAAGTAGAGCTTCTCAGAAGATTTCATTATCAAACTTCTCCACTATGAATTCATTGCTGCAAGCTACATGCGTACCTGGACGGTCTTCTCTTGGCCCTGAGTCTGCGACATTCCTTTAAAGCAACGCATTAGTTCTTTCCACAGCTTCATCATCTTATCCATCGCTTCCCGCTGTTCGGCGATTTCTTGCTGCAATTATAAAACATATACCTAACCCTACAATCGTCATAAATAAACAGCATAACAAGAACAAATCAAGAGTAATTTTAAATAAAAATATCACAACACACCATTTTGTTCTGTGGGTGTCCTAAAAGGCGACATCAAAAATTCTCGAAAGTTCTTACGGCTACCGATAGATGACGACATAACCATCAAGTTTACGCCAGACTTAATATATAAACATAGCTAGACAGATACTCAGACCGAAGACGAAGAGAGCAGCGTCAGATGTACGAGACATCTGGTACTGCTATCGTCAATCCACCTGCCAAAGGCAAATCCTCTCCAAAAAAAGAAAAACCCATATTCAACGGTAGACTTTTACTGCTACTAAAGAAGAACGGCCCTTAAAAAGTTTCGCTGGTCTACGTTTATTAAAACTTTTTATTATATCTGTGTGATAAAAAAATAAAATTATGAAATATGACGCACTTGGGACGAATTTTGTTACAAAGCTTTTTGCTTATATGGAATGGATGATTAACCTAACCTTAACAACTCTCATGTAAGTACTTCTGCCGCTCATCGTACTTGTTTCACCGTCAGGGCCACTCAAACCAGAATCTCTTTCTTTTTCAGAATATCTATCACGATCGTCGACGTCCCTGGAAACAACTGAATTTCGATCGAATTGCTCTAAGTTTCTTCGTGATTTTTCCTTATGTTCTAAACCATACGTACGATCCCTATGTTCTAGAAGTTTATCGTCATAATATCTTTCTCTATTTCTTTCGCCATAACGTCTGTTTCGTTGTACTTCGAAGTGTTTGTCTTTATGTGGATCGCTTCTAGACGTTCGTCTTATATCATCGACGTATTCCCTTTGAATTTCAAAGCTTCTGCTAGTCCTTTGTTCACAGTATTTTCTTCTGTCATCAATGTATTTATTTCTAACAGGTTCTCTTTTGTCAACATAATCTTTAAATTCTTTTTGTTCGTGTCTACGTATGCCATATCTAGCGTCAATGCAACTTCCAGTTGGTGTATCATCTTGGGTGTATGTATGATATCTATCATCGATTACATGAGGTCTAGATTTTATCACTTCCAATTTACTTTCACGTTTCTGATTTCTGTTTTGAAAGGAACAACATACGCATTTCTCTATACTATTTTGGTGTTCAATTTGTTCTGGTACAGTGCAACTGTCTCTAACTCGCACTGCACTACGAAAGTTCTCTTGACTACGTATTCTCGATGGAGCGGTGCTTTCCCTTTGATTATAGACTTTAGTCGGACAGCGATCTGCATCATAAGAATCCCGCCTTGGCACAACTTCGCACTGCAACGACTTGTGACTATGCGCTCTGGACTGTGAAGAATGTAAAACTAACTGAAGTCACTGCACTTAAGCCAAAATAACGATATAAGTTTAACAATTACTTACGACTTCGGTATCTTTATACCGCGAAGCTTTACTGTTAATTTGAGCACATATTTTCGCAAAAGTTTCTATGAGAACAGCCTGATCTATTACGGGACCGGCGGTTTGGTCTTGTGTTCGTGGGCAGTGACTGGAAACAAATTGCATATAAAAAGTAAAAAAAAAGTAATTTAAAAGCATTTGTAAATTCCACAATTGGGCACAGGTCTTTACTCCGTTATACAGAGTATCTTAGATAGATTTGAACGAGGTAGATGTCGCCCCCATATAAAACGTGTTAGCGGACTACATACGTCCTTATCTCTCATACTTTGGAATTTGAAAAGCTCTTAGACCCAAGCTACTACGGCACTATTATTTTACTTTACACTTTTTAATCTTACTTGTCTCGATCTCTAGGAGGAGCGGATTCCTCGCGGGATCGTCGATGGTGATGGTGGTGGCGATGCTCTTGAGTTGCAGAAACTTCACGTTCACGACTCGCTCTTCGTTCCTCTTGTCTTCGCAAGTGCCGCTGCCTGTATATGATGTGCACAATACTACTAAGTATATAACAATAATTAACGTTTATTTTGTAAAGCGACTTCAATTTCTTTTACGATCCTGAAATACCACTCTCGCTTCACTTACATTCACATCTACGGATATATGCTCGTCAGTCGAGGGTTATAAATTTCGTTTGCTTTCTAAATTTATGCATAGTTACTTGAAACTTTTAAATGGATTTAGCATTTAGTTATATTAACAAATTCCCTGTCCACGATATAGAAAATGGTTAAACAATCGAAATGTTCATATATGATTCATGGGACAACGAGAGGGTCACAACACATACCATGTAGTGGTCGTTAAAAGGAATCCGACGAATCATTTCGACCAGTGGATTTCGTAATAGGCGAATATGAGAAAGGCCAGAAAGATCTTCCGATAAATGGCTGTATAACCATTTCTTTATTTGCAGCCTCATTCTCTTTGTTGTCAACAAAACACGCATTCAAACTAAATGGTTGGTATCGTCGGCGTACAGCAAAGGAGTGGAATAATTTGTAAGCGTATCTCTTTCCATCCGGTTTCAATATGGGTATCTTCAAGGCAAGAGTATGTAGCGGCGCTGTCGTCTCGCCACAAGCGAAACACATCGAAGCCTAAATCGCGCTATCGAAGTTTCGAAGTAAAATCGAAGTCAAGCTGTCATTAATAATAGTAAAAAAAACTCAACTAAGTAAGACTTTGTTGTGTCCTTAAATGAAAAAATAAGCTTATCACTTACTTCCTTTTATCTCTCTTTATAGCCTCTTCTAAGAATTGGTAAATGAAAGAGTCCTGATCCTGAGGCACAGATTCGATAACGACTTCTTCTTCCTGAAAACAACTTCTTAAATCAGTACTCCACTTAAAACATGGAAAACTATCTTTAAAAAAATAAATCTTACTTGGGAAGGAGAAACCGAGCGAGGTGTAGAAACCAGGCCTGCTTTTAATGCTAATGATATTCCATCTCTCCTGAAAGAAATTTCAAATTTTAATTAAGAATGACGACAGAACGTATACAGTTCACTAATTTAGGTCATAATATGAAGGTATGGGACCATACTAAAACAAAGCAGATTATCCCCTAGGAGAATCAATACACATGACTCTCCTAGGGGATAATCTGCGTAAGAGAGATAGGGGAAAATCAATACATATATGTATAAAATGTCTCACTGCCAAAAAGTTAGTCTACGGTTCCTAAAACACGGAGCAGTATTACGTTGATATTCAATAGGTAGCGATTTCCCGGTGAGAAGGTCGCTACCTGGGAATGAACTTGGATCTACCTATTTTTAAGATACAGGTACAACGTTGCTTTAAGCTTTATACTTAGATAAAAAGTTATTTTAATGTACTATAAGTTAGTTTAAAAAAATCACACAAAACTTAAATACTCGCAGTTCAGCTGCGACTGAAACAAGATTGGCACATTCTGCCTTACTTTACTCGCTACATACTACATGACTGTGTACGTATTTAATGGTTTGTTTAATGGATTAAAATAATAACAGCCGATGGGCCACGACCTGAGTGTTACTCCCCGGCCAAACACTCATTGGGTGGCATGGGAAGTAGCGAGGAAAGGAGGCAGAGTCGTAGTGTGGCCACAATACTCAAACTCCTCGTCATGCCCATCGCTCCCTGTTTTGTCGGTTTCTTGGGCGCGAATCAATGGATTAGCAATATGAGCACGAATGGCTGGCACACACTCGCGCAAACACAATTCGAGTCGAGCGCTCATTACGGAAGCACGTCACATGTCATTTAAAAATCATAAATAATGTACCTATCATCATCATTCCGCCATATTATCACATGAGTAAATAATATACAGAGAAAAACCTATTTCGAAGACAGCGGCGTGTATTTCTTTTTATGACATTGATATAATTAGTTATAATAAATATACATTACTCTCTACCACTAAAAGTTCACCAGTGGACTTTTAGTGGCAGATGAAAAGGAGGATGTAGTGGTTAAATCATCTTTTTATGTCCTAATCCGACTTTGTTCTTATTGCTATTTTGAACTGATTCAACTTTAAAAATGCAATGGTCATTCGATTGATAGGCAACAGGACATCTGGCAAGCGGTAATTCTTCTTGTAGAGCTGGTTAGTACTTAAAATTGTGTTTTCATGCTTTCCTTTTCTAGCTATTATATAGTTTATACATATTTTGTTCACTTACGCTGCACGTCTGTGTCGTCGCGGCGAACGTGGTGCTCGGTGCACGTCCACACGAGACCTGGACATCGTTGGACTGCTCTCATGGTCCCTTTTTATATTGTATGGTATTTAGTATACATGTAATGTAAAATCATAAAATACCTAGACTGGCGATGGCAAGCAGTTATATAATAAGCGCAAAACTCTTGTTACTGGGATCGTTAATCCCGCGAGTGAATGTGAGCAGTGAGGCAATGGGCGATTGACAAGGAAGAGGTCCAATTGATACTTGCTAGACAGATTTCATTTCATGACACGGAAAACTGTTTGAGAGCAAGTTACCAAAACCAACATGTGCTTCCTTTTTATTTCATTAAAACTTTATTATTTACTCAACATTTCTTTCTAAATAGTTATACAGTCGTGCTGACTTTTTTGCTTTAGGTCTTTTGTTCAACATTCGTGCTTTGGGCTGCAATCATTACTATATTAATATAATACCGTACCGTAAATGTAATGCCAGCCACCAATGTAAAACCAGCGCCTGTTTTAATGGTGGGTGATATGTTCTGAAAGGCACAGTGCTTCGGGATTTTCCATATAAATAATTTAGGTAAAACTGGCTAAAGAATAAAAAAATAATTGGATTGTACTACAGTGCAATTTAAAGCGCTCATTTTTAAAAATAAAAGTTATACAGGGAGATAACAACAAAATTGTTGTAGTGTATAAAAATATTTTGTGTTTACGCTGCACGTCTTTTTTGTCCAGGGACCTTAGCGCCTTTAAATTCGATCCCGATTAAGTAAAAAAAAACAACCACAGGACAATAAACGTCTGTGGTCGTTATGGTGATAATATTGCCGTTTCACACTGTCATCATTTCACATCATCATCATTGCAGTCCATCACAGGTCATCGCTGAATATAGTTTGCTCATAATAACGGTCCTGAGCCACCTGCATCTACCGGCTCTCTACTCATATCTGGTAGCCGCTGTATGTAGGCGTTAGTGGGGGTCGCCTAAGGTTTTGAGGCTGCCACTCTACAAATTTTCTTCTCCAAACATACGCTGTAATTATTTTGCAATTCGTAAAACTAAAGAAAAATAATATTGACCTGTTTGTGTTTACAGTTGTGTCAGCTGGGCCAGTAGTGGTATTTTGCAAACTTGCCTTCGCTGAACAAGCTCGAAGTCCATTGATTTTTGAACCCTGGCAATGTGTGTTATATTCACTGTATATAGGTGATGTGTTATATTCTCTGATCGTACATGAGATCACTACATTAATATTATACACATCGGTAACTACTACTCGAGATAAGGATTAATAGGAAGATAATCCATCAAATCATTTTGCTATGTGGCGTGTGGCGTGGGCGTCGTAAAAGGCAACTGTGGCAAAGCACCCAGAAAGATCTCATGGCCTCCGATAGATGGCAGAATAACCATCTCGTTTACGGCAGTCGTAAAATATCTTTAACATGACGAACAGGTGCATCAAAGATGTTGTAGTCTGAAAAATGGATGCTGTACTTTTACGGGCTGATAAAGAAGTAGAAGGATTTAAATAATCATATATAAGTACCTACATATGTACATAAATCCTAGTAGTCAATGTTAGTAACCGTCCGCGTGGGTCATAGGTTCAAGAGCTCGAGTCCCACGTTTGACGAATGATGCAGCAAAGTATTCAAGGATACCTCTGACCGTAGAACACAATATTTAAAATAATTCCTCATCAGATACGAACATATAATGGAACAGTGTCTGTCATATAGGATAAAATACAGTTACAGCATATATCCCATATAAAGCAGGTAAAACCGTTGGTTCTGCTCCTGCTCTCGATCTTTCTCCAGTTAGGTAGAATTTTCGTCCCTTCAGACTATTCCCTAGCACGCACTGCGATTAAACGCGAGTGGCTTAGGAATAACAGAAAACGCAAAACCGCATACAATCACGCACTGCGGTTGGCGTTGTGCTTAATTTTATTTCAGTATCACCACGGATTTCTGGCGAGAAGCGTATGTGACGGCTTTGGTTTTTAATTTACAAATAGAAAACGTAAACAACGGCGCTGCTATAAGTATTGGGTACATCCACTAAGAGATCAAAGACATCTGAAAGGATACTTTTGCAAAATGTACAACGACGTGCGTCAATATCTCGAACAATAAAAATAAATAAAGAACCGAACGCGGTTAACCGCTGTCCGGGCGCCGCCATACTATTACTATTTGACACATAAAAATCGCGCGTTTACAAACCGCGAAAATGTAGCAAGTTACGTTTTTAAGATCAGTCACTGAAAAAAGTCGCTAATGCGTGCGCTTGTATAAAAGCTATGCGTACATTTTTTGCGGTTTCAGACGTGCGGATAAACGCGTGCGTTTAATCGCAGTGCGTGCTAAGCGTATAAGAGTAAAGGTATATAGAATGCAACTGTACTACTATAATCCTTGGATTATAGTAGCCAGCTATCGCCGTGATCGAAATTCAGTCTGGAGTCCAGAGGATATGTTTATTATAATTGGCACAGGCCTACTTACTGTCATTTCTAAGAGTGGTTTTCCTCTACTACACGCGGGACTAGACGGTGCGTTCCATCTCAAAAATCTATGTTTTTATTTCTTGACATTTTGATTTGAAATTTTGTATACCAATTCCTAAATACTTATGCTATTATATAACTAAAACACCGCCACTTTAAAAACTTTATTTTGTTAGTAAAAAAATTACGAAACAAAAGTTTTGAACATTTTCATACGAAAATTATTTCTTTTTATGAATATATTACTCAAAAGAATGATATAACCAATACTGATTATAATTATCACAAAAGATAAGAAGTATGCAAGATCATTTTACCATACTTGTAGTTAAAATGATCACAGCAAAAAAAAATATTGTTAAAATATTTTACCAAATATTAAATATTAATATTTTGTGCTTAATTGTTAAATAGAGTATTTTATTGGAAAAAACAATAACAAGTACTTTGTTGCATCCACTAATGTCATAAGTGCAAATAACGAGTATCGTCGATTTATTTTTTCCGTCGGTCGACATTTTTGCTTCTAGCTTAAAATGGTGCAGTAATGACGGAGGTATTTTTTTGTATATCCTTGTACTATTATTGAATAGTTAACGAATCTAAAAATGTCATAAACTTGATATCGGCAGATAGCGGCAACAAAGAAACCTCAATTTGAAAATCAATAAGACGAAAATTTTCCTTGTGGCATTTAATTATTAAATTAAAAAAATATTTCTTATAAAAAAAAAAAGTAATTGTAACCAAGAGATCTTGAGTAATCCAAAAATGTATAATATTATATTATTATTATTATATTATATATTTATTATTATATTTCCCCTATATTTATATGTTTCCTTGAAGAACTTAGGAAATATAAGTTGAACTTCCATAATGAATAGGTAACCTAATATGAAATTATCGAAGTGCAAAGTTTGGGTGTAATTTTATATACTTACCTAAAACACATTATTATTATTTTTTACTTTTAGATCAGATAGCTCTATTTTCTCAGAATATAAAACAATCAGAACGGTTCCGGTAACACGACTTTTGTCTGAACCATTTTTGAGATGGAACACGCCGTTTCTTCCCACAGTACACTCCTCTATTAAGTACTAGTGGACTCAAAATATTTATAACATTATCAGTCACACAAAGTTTCCTTACGTTTTCTTTTACTCGTCTTTTTTTTTTTTACTCGTGATAAAACAAAACTTAAAAAAGCAACGAACAATTTCACTGTTGTCGGCGTTGATCGAACTTTCTTTGCTCACGCAGGAATCACTCACATTTACCGCTCATATTTATAATTTTCGAACATGAATGGACCAAATGGAAAATTCGTCTCGAATTCAACTATTTGCTTATTAAAAATATGTTTACTTACTGCAGGAATTCGTAAAGGTATTTACATATAGGTACATCAAATAGTCGTCAACCAGTTACTTCATACTTTGAAATAAAAATAATAGCAAATGCTTTTTAACTTGCTCCTGTTTATCTTACATTCAAATACTTACGTTGTTAGAGTCATCAGTGGCTAAAGAGTTGTCGTCGACTACATCCCGCTTTTTTCTCGTACGCTTACGTTTCGAAGCATCATATACTTTGAACAATTTCTTACTATCACTTTGCTGACACTCCATCGAATATCAATAAACATGAGAGCAAATAAACTTAATCTAATTTATTCATTATTCTTATTATGGTAAGTGATTTATTTTATTAGTAAAAGATAAATGCAAAATCGGAATTTAAAAAAAAATATTGACCAAACAAACACGGGCTAAGTGAAAGACGTCAATTTCGCGTGAATTATTGAAAAAAGAATTCTGAAACTCCTAGCAGCAACAGATTATTAGTTGCCAGCTACAAGGTCAAAGAGAAAATTGTCGATGGTATAAAACAATATCCACTACCCCATAATAGCATCCCATACATAAGGGAAACAAATCAAGAGATGGACGGCAGGGGCTTCCCGATGACAACTAGAAAATAGAAACTACGATTGCCTGCACGCATGCCAAGCATAGCAACTTTGGTAAACACCTCCATATGGGAGATGGAAGACCTTTTTCAATACATTGACGGGCTATAATGAACTAATGAGTGATGATATATGCAAAAGAGAATTGTAATGTTTATATATTTTTCCTTTGGTTCCGTTTTGTATATTTTGAGTTGTATGGCCCATGTAAATGCAACTAAACATCACCTACACGACAGACCTAACCTAACCTTTTTTTCGTGGGGAAATCCTCATGAATACCATTCGTATCGGGGGCAACGAGAAAGTTATGCCCGACACCAACCGGCTAAAACCCCACGGTGGTCACCATCAGCGTAAATGAGGGGTCCCGGGATCTCCGTTCCGAAAGCAACCGGAGCCCCTCCATCGCTATGCTACACTAATAGCACGTCCCGGGGGCAATACTTGCTGCCCCCAGCACTCTCGTGGTGCCACCACGATGTCTCGAAACCACTTCCGAGTCATCGTCCTCCTCCGGGGTTACATAACTAGGCATTCGAGGCCCCCGCTACGAGCGTCTGCAACCCCGGAGGCCCGGTTACTGGTAGGGGAACAGTAGTTACGGTACAACGTTCGTCGACACGCGATCCTAAAAAAACTATGCATTGAACATCCCTGAAACTTATACCTATAGCAAATACATTAAGCAATATTTGCCACAAACTGAAGTCCACTAATTCTGAATCCTATCAACATTCCAGTTCCATCTTTTCTCTTCCACACGTGGTGACTCTCTTCTGAATAACCCCGACTCTCACCACCCTCCCTTAGTTCTAACATTTTCGTGTTGTGATCCGCCAAGTTTTTTGCCTAACGCTCAAAGCCAAAGATATAACTTTCATAAGGCGGACTACGATAAAATCATAACACATTTAAATTCTGTTTCATGGGACCGTATACAATCTTCATGTTCGGTTGATGTCATGGTAAGAGAATTTTATGCTATTTTAACAGACACGATTACTAAGTACGTTCAAAAATGTAAACCCTCCACAAAAAAGTTTCCAGTATGGTACACAAAGGAACTCATACATCTCCTCAAGGAAAAAAACAAACTTCGTTTGAGGTACCGTAAATACAAAAACCCACTGGACGAACTTGCATTACAAACACAAAAATTGACATTGTAGATCATAACATCTTACTTCACAAACTCTCAATTTTGGGCATCACTGGCAATCTTCTCGAATGGTTCTCTTTATACCTCAGGCGGAGAAAATCGAGAGTTGTGGTAAATGGTTACTCCTCAGAACCATTTCTATCTATGTCTGGTATTCCTCAGGGTTCCCATCTCGGTCCGATCCTTTTCAATATTTTTATAAATGACCTAGCGTCTGTGTTTAAACACGCGACCTGCTTTATGTACCCCGATGACATGAAATTGCCCTTGAAAATCAAAGAACACAGTGACTCACTCTTATTGCAAGAGGATTTGGACCGGATATCTTTGTGGTGCATTAAGAACAGACTATTTTTGAATCTCGATAAATGTAAAGTTATAAGATTGTCAAGGTGTGTAAATGTTCCGACACCTATGTATAATATTTATGGTCATCCTTTGGTAGAAGTGGACTCCGTTCGAGATCTGGGTGTGATTCTGGACAAAAAGTTTCGGTTTCATAAGCACGTTGATGGAATTGTTACAACGGGTCTTCAAATGTTGGGGTTCGTGTTGACTAATTCTAAAGAATTTAAGAGGGGCTCTACAAAAATATCCTTGTACAAGTCTTTAGTCCGTTCCAGCCTCGTATACTGTAAGTCAGGTCTGGTCTCCATTGATATGACATTTACGTGAAACGCATAGAGCGTATCCAGAAGCGTTTTTTGTGGTATCTTTCGTACCAAACTTAGAAAATAAAGGATCTACCCTCATACGAAGACCGACTGACGTATTTTAAATTAAGCTTACCCTGCAACAGCGGAAGCTTTTGCTGGATTTCATGTTGCTACACAAAATCGTCAATGGAACCGTAGACTGTCCATACCTACTAAGTGCAATAAATTTCAAGGTACCTTTTAAGCTAGTGCGTGTCAGCCGATACGTCTCCTTTTCAGTTGAAGGCAGTAAAAGTAATTTGGGTCACCACGCCACCATAAACAGGTTACAGAGGCAACATAACCAGCTCTGCATGTGACGTTGATATTTTTGCTGATAAGCCTCAAAAATTCAAACGAAAAATTATGCAGTCCTTTACTATTAAATAACATTTAGACCTAGTTTTAAGTTTAAAGTTGTAATTGATTAAAACTACTTTTACGGATTTTATCGCGTTTGTTCCGGAAAGTCTGCAGTTTGCGATCATATCCTAGACGGCCCCAACCATTACATCAGATTTGACAAATCCTCGCGAAAGAACACCGATTCCTACCAAGGATGATACGTGAGGCTATTGAAATTAAAAAACACCCTAATTTCAATAGAGAAGGAGGCTGGGTACTACCACCTGCTTGGGATCCTATAATCAATAAAATTAAAACTAAACCCAAGCATACCACTGCAAGACCTCAGGACATAGTTCATTTTGCATAGATCGGACCATAAACAATAATTAAAAAAAGCTGAAGGTACTCCGGGTTTAACAATGACATCGGGACGTCAGTCATCTCAGTCCCCCATGATCATGGGTGCTGGAAAGCGCCCGAAACGTCGGGAATTAAAAATAATAGTAAAATAAACGCGATAAAATCCGTAAAAGTAGTTTTCCCATGTATACCTTCGACATACGTTGGTACGTGGGTATACATGGGAAGTCTATTAGCAGCATAAACACTATTTTCTAGACTAGGGTGAATCTTTTTCAGATGTTGTTGTACATCTATTGTATCCATGATATTACTGATATTAGTAGATTATTACAGTACCAATCTACTCAATGACTAACATAGGAATGATCAATTATAGTGATTTCTAAATATTAAATTGCATTCTTTTGTGTTATACAAATCGTATTTGAGTCACCGATACACTGAACAAGACGCAACTCGAAGGAATGTTGAGATAAGCAACAGAATGTGAGATAAGCTTGTTGACTCATCATCAGTTCCACTGCAGAAATTCTTTAGATTAGAATTATTACTTACTGGTACTATATAAGACCGAGCAGCTGCAGTCATGGAGTGTTAGTGTATGGTCGTTTGACCGCAGTGAATCTATCAATACTACATTTGTGTTACTTCAACGCATCAAAGGCCATGGATGTGTTTATTCTATTGACAAACTTACTTTTCTTTCTCTTATTTTCTTACGTGTGTATGATTTAGTGTTAACAAATTATATTTAAATATTGTGTGTGTGTGTATATATATGATTAAACCGTGGTAGCTCAGATGGTTAGCGCAAGCTGTAAATTTCACAGTACGCGACCCGGGTTCGATCTCCACCGGCACCAATTAAATTGTTAATTGCAATTTTAAGTGCTGATTCACCACGTGCTCGGCGGTGAAGGAAAACATCATGAGGAAACCTGCATGTTTGATAAAATTTCGAAGGGATGTGAAGTTCGCCAACACGCATTGAGGCAACGCGGCGGACATTTCCTAGCCCTAAACTCTCTCAGAAATGAGAGGAGGCCTATGTTCAGCAGTGGACTTTAATAGGCTGTAACTTTAACTTTTTTAACTTTTATGATTAAGTGTTAACAAATTGATATTAACATGATAACTGTGTTGTTGCAGAAATCATTGAGCTTCGATGAAAATACCTATAAACAGTATTACTACTCGCCACTCTCCCCTCAAGAAGAGAGTGATGACATCGTCATTAATAATAACACATGCGATGGTGGAAAAAGAAAATCGCAATCGATTGATCATTTTTTTGAAGCTGAATCAAAAATAAAAAAAGAGGAAGCTGTTACCATCAACCGTAGCACGAGCCGCTAGAGATGGTGTATCATACATTTCTACTAATTCTGACGACGGAGACCAAGCGACGCATCTCATCAAAATTGAAATGTACGATATGAAGAAGCTATCCAAGATTCCAACTACTGATCATTGGAAACATGCTTCCACGAGGATTAAATCTTACGTCAAGACTAATAAGGATAGCATCTACGACAACACAAACGCCCTCGTATACAATGTTACAAAGACAATAGCAGAAAGTGAAAAAGTTAAAAAATACTTTTTTAACAATGACAGTCATTAGCTGATCATTAGTGAATGTGATTCTGTTTACTTAAATTATTTCTGTGTACTCATTATATTCTATTTCTAATCCTTTGCTAGACTATAAATATCGGACATTATTTGAAATTGGGTATCAGTTGGTCTATCAACACTGAACTGTTACTTACTCTGCTACCTATTTTCTTCTTTACTATAAGGATGGAAAACTTCAGTGAAGTGTGCACCAGTGCTTTCTTCTGCACAACCAAGGAAGAGAATACGGAACTATTCAACAGCGAATTAAATCAGGAGTTGCCTAAAGTTTGTGATGAAATGGAGAAGGGTCAACTGTTCGATTCATCATATGATGATGAGTTGTATAGTCACTGTGCGATGGTTGAAACACAGTTTAAGTAAGTAAAATAAACATTCATTTCGATCATAATTTACACAGTCATTGTCTAATACAGTTTTTAATAAATTTAAACATTTTAGCCGTCAACCACT